AGACACCTGTCTTTCAAACCAAGACAGAAACCCTCCATCAGAAAGCAGACCTTATCACCAAAGACAAGCCAGGAAACAGTGATTTAGAAAAAAGGGGTTTTCAAAAACACTAAAGCATGTTAATGTATAGTAAAAACTATAAAACACAGTGTAGAGTAAAAAGATGCACAGTATATTACTATTCACCTATAGTCACTAGTGAAATTGTTTATGCAAAACCTGTGAAAACTGTGGGTTTCTATCACTTCCTATGCTAAGGATGCAATACAAATAGATTTCATGACTGGGTTTAAGCAGTTATGAGTCAACACTCACACTGCAAATAGTGGTGTTACAAGAAAACCCTGTAGTGAACAGAAGTGAACAGTCACTGTAAGCCAGTGATTCAGAATACAAATGCAGTCTTTTGCTGTTGATCAAAAGTAAAGACAGGCCTCCCTTCATGGATATATATTTTAAATTCATTACCTCACTACTGAAAGGTGAACACTACACCACTTTGCAGATGATAATTTCAATAGACTTCACTAACCCAGCACTTGAAACAATGCTGGGGAGTAGTGTTGACTTAAAACCAGACAATGAATATCAGATCATAGAAAACAAGTAAGCCAAAGTTGAACAAAAATGTCCACACAAGGGACAGCACCTATTGACTTAAAAATTAACTAAATCCACATTTGAAAAGCAACACATTTCCTGCACAGGTTCCTGAGTGCAAAGAGTTTAAACAGTAAGAAGTTTGAGAGATTGGTTGGGCAGATTTGAAATACCGTGCTGAATTCAGGAGATAAGTCTATTAAATTTCAGACAGAATGTGCACTTCCAGCAGAAAGAGTCAATACTAAACATTTTTGGTGAAGGAATATTCAGTAAGGAACGGGACCAGCAACAAAGCTCCTTCAAACTAACGTGTAACAGTGTTACCACATACTGCAGTTCCGTTCTCAGAAGGAAGGTTGACCAGGGAAACCATCCTGGCCAAGGCTTTCAAGCTTCTTCAACCTCCTGTAATTCCTCTTTCCGAGTTGTTATAGAATCACAGAATCAGAGAATAGTTTGGGTTAGAAGGGACCTTTAAAGGTCACCTAGTTCAACCCCCTGCAGTGAGCAGGGACATCTTTAGCTACATCAGGTTGCTCAGAGCCCCAGCCAACCTGACCTTGAATGTTTCCAGGGACGGGGGCTTCTACCATCTCTCCAGGCAACCTGTTCCAGTGTTTCATCACCTTCACTGTAAAAAATATCTTCCTTGATTCTAGCTTAAATCTGCCCTCTTTTAGTTTAAAACCACTACTCCTTGTCCTATTGCAGCAGGCCCTGCTAAAAAGTCTGTTTCCATCTTTCCTATAGCCTGCCTTTAAGCACTGAAAGGCCTCTGTAAGGTCTCCCCAGACCCTTCTCTTCTCCAGGCTGAACAACCCCAACTTTTTCAGCCTTATACATGCACGTTCTCAGCATCTCCCGTTGCTGTCAGTTCTACAGCTCAGGGTTGCTTTCTTGTGATGAGGCAGGGAGAAAAGCCTTAAGGTTTTGCCCTTTTTTTTTTTTTTTTTTTTAATGCTTTGTGATTTTTATTTCAGGCTTGTAGGATAAATCTTAGAAGCTTACATCCTAAAAAATGGCTTTTTGTCATTTTTCTCAGCCTTTAAATATTACGATTGAACAACTGCAGCTAATAACATCCCTGGATTCATCAGCAGCCATATTCACAGATAACACAGACAGTATCAGCTATTCAAAGTGCTGCCATATCTCACTTCAGTCTATCCAGTCTATTTCTTTTCCTATCAGATTCATCTCAGTTTACTGGTTCATTTACAAGACTTGGAAGACAGAGACAATTGCCAGCTGCCACATTTACAGCCACAAGCTACTGAAGTGCATCCTCTGCCATACAGTGCAGAATCTGATCATCAGTCTACAAAACAGCCATACAACCAGCAAATGTCAGCAGCAGTAGAGAAGCGAAAAAATGGGACATACTTCCAGTAGCCAACTTAGGGGATCTGTGCAATTGCATAGGGCATGAACTGAAGTCTGCCAGGTTCTTCTGCAAGAATATAAACAGCCAATGTTTTGACAGAAGGACACTTCTACGTCAGTTATTTCCATAATAAATACAAGTATCCTGAAATGTGTTGTTTCAAAGAGACAGACTAGACTCTAGAGTACTAAGAGATTTCTTGCACACTGTGAGATAAAGACTAAAGAAATTGTGATTTTAAATTTTTTTTTCCAGTGAGACGCAACCAAACTTCAAGTTTTCTACAAAATGGTCAGGTATTCCTACAGAGCTCGTCTACGTTTATTAGTTCAGCACATTCTACAGAACTTTTCTGCACTGCTGAATAATATTGTTAATGAAACGGAAGTCTGAATTCATCAAAGAGTTGAGCACTGGAGGCATGAGTTTGAATATGAGTTCTTTAAACCAGTACTGTACTCCACAGCCATGAAAGGGTAAGCAACACTGACAGACATATAGCATTTTTATAGCAGTCTAGAAAATAAAATGAGGAAACAGATGCTAAAAAACTAAGAAAAGGAAAAGGTATTTTGGTAGACATTTCACAGATGAAGAAGAAAGCGGCTTTGTGTTCTTGTCTATTTGGTCAAACTAGGACATACCTACACATAACTTCAAACTCGAAGGAGAATCAAAGATCCATAATGATTTGTAGGTTAGATTCTCAATTTCAAATGCTACAGATAAAACTGAACTCGACTGTCTAATGTGTCTAAATCTCTTTGACATACCGTGTTAATGTTAGGCAACCCCACAAACTAGGCAGTAGAAATACCAAAGGATGCTACATAACACCACAGAGCAAAAAGCGAGGTCACTTTATCAGTGGTCCAAACACTTTATTTCATTTAAAAATCATCATGGATTTCATCCACTGCATCAATGCAGTCAAACACTGAAAAGCATAATTAAGTTCCGTGCCATTTACCCAATTCGCTTTTTAACTATGAACTCTGCAAGCAGATACATCAAAGAACGTTTTTCTTTCTACCACAACACTGCTTGTAAACACCCTATGAAATTTAGTTGTTAACCTTAGCTGTAAGGTTGAACTCTTTGGATGGTAGCACATTCACAATCTATTTGATGTTTGTTCACAGACAGAATAATTAAATGACAGCCGATGAGACAAATAACTACTTCACTGAAGTAGTCCCTTGGAAAAAAAGATAAGCAAGATAGCCTTTCATTTGTCAAAAAGAAACATAAGATTCATAGCCAGCAATGTTTTTAGTGACTAATGAGAGAACAGCATTAAATATAGCGTTACCTTCGTAAGCGTGATAGTTGTAGTAGGCAAAGTGATTCCTTCTCCCTGGGGTTAGAAACACATGCAGAGGACCCAGGTGAAGGCAGCACCAGCAGAACAGATACCATGCAGAACATGCGGAAGAAGGCAGGAAAACAAAAGACAGGAAAGGGTGAAACTATAGCTAGACAACACTTAATTTATAAGGATAAGTGCATTAAACTCTTTCAACTTTAGAAACTGCACAGAATACAAAGACATCAGTACTACAAAGCTACTGAATGAAACAATTCTTATTGTTTAGAAAAGCGACAACAAGCTGTTAGAAGAAAAACATGAACAATAGGTCAGTCCCACAGGCAACGTGCAAAGGCTTAGTACACAGCATTGCCACCTGTGGCATTTCAGATTGTTTTTCCTCTCTTCAGTTAATGGATGTCTTGGTCCTCTGCCCAAGCACAACGGTTTAATACTAAAGGAAGTAGGCTGCACGAAGAGTAAGTTTAGAGCACAAGAAAAGAAATTAAAAGCACTATTAAAAGAAGCCAAAATACTAATATGCAAATCAAACCTAGGATAGAGAACACAATATGAAATACACTTAATATTTATGTATGGTTAATTTCATCTGGCTTGCCTTTTTTTTTTTTTAAAACAAAACAAAACAAAACAAACACACACAACAAAAAACCCAGACTATTTGACTACAAATTTAACCTTTTGCTTGCAGTTCTGGTCAAAGTGTTCAGCACCAGTTTCCAACCTTGCTCCCAAAAGGCAAACAACCACACTTCAAATTGTAAATCACTTGTTTGGATACCCGAGTGTACCCAAGTTACACTTAATAAATAAAATGAAGTCCATATCAAAATCTTTAAACATGAAGACAATAGAAATTAAGAGCAGAAGTTGTATGCGTTTTATCAGTTGTTGTGCTATAAACAATCAATCTCCCCTGGCTGTTCCTAGATCATAAAATTAATTGTAAATTACAACGCAGCTCAGAGTTGCAATGATGCCAAAATAAAACCCAGAGTTGCTAATGATTTGAAGGTTCCAAATGCTTAGCAAATAAGTTTGAATTAAAAATTCATGTTCTTGTCCTTCTAAAGATGTATTTTTCATGTATGGCACTGTCAAATATATCTTACTAGGTATGCTACAGTATACTTCTGAACGCAAAACAAACCAGATTTAAGCATTGCTCTGCTGCTTCCCCCTCCAAATCACAATACAACTTGTTAAACTATTTTACTTATTACCAAGTTTTAAACCCTAAAATCCAAACGAAACTGAAGATTGAATGATTTCTTTGTTTTGTTTTTGAAACACTTAAAGCTTCATACTTGAAGCTGGGCTAATGGAGACGAAGTCTTAGTCAACCATTTCTCCCCTTTTTTTACTCCAAACATTTGCTACTAAGATTTTGATATTATAGCAATATGAAGCTCTACCTCTAGATAGCTCCAATTCAGAATCTGACATCAGAAGAGCAACTGATGGGGCATTCACTTCCACTGCCAACAGACTTTCCTGTGCTTCCAATCAAAGTCTTGGTTTTGGAAAATCTAAACGACTACATAAGAATTCTTACCTGGGCTTAATTCTACCAGGTACGGTAGTTTCTCAGGAGGAAGGCAAGAGCCATAGCCAGACCCGTCAACTCTTTCCTTCCCCTTTAATGGCTTTCCATCAGTTATTTTCTTGGATTTCTTTGGGACATAATCAGGAGGCCGCCTTTTCAACTGAAAGACTAGTATTCCTAAAACACAGTATTATACATCCTTTGAGTCTCACTATCAGTGAACATGCACACATCCAACAGCCACTCATTTTTAAGCATTCCATGGGGTTACTTTCAGCTTACTAAGTTCCTGACACTTCTTTATGACATTATTTTTAAGTTAAAACTATTTAAAAGATTAATAGCACACTTCTCCACAGTGGATAATTTAGAAACTTTAGGATAAAATGTAAAAACCTTCTACTGTCTAAAGATGCATTACTATAAACAAAACAGTAAATAACTCTAAAAGCTTCTAGTACTAAAAGTGCCTGAGAACAAAACACTAAAATGTATCTTTCAGTTTCTTACTTTACAGGGGTCCACAGCATGGCTTAAAACACCCAAGGCACAAACATTTCTTAAGCTTTTTAGACATACCTTTATCACTAGGCCACTCCCTGAATATCTGCAGTGGACACTCATCATCATCAAGAATAGTTTCTTTAGCACCTTTATCATCAGAGTGCTGAGCACCAGGAGGCAGCATGACCTAGAAAAGAACTATTATCAGTTTTCAGAGAAGTTGGTGGACAATTAGAACAGATGATTCAGAGGTATAGCTTCTGATACTTTGTGGCTTGTTTGTTTACAACAAGAGCTAAAGGAAAAGAATTCAGTAACTTAAAACGCACTTTGCTTTCCAGGACTTTTTCTAACACTCTCTCTTGTCCCTGGTTACAGCTAAATTACTCTTCCCAGGACACTAGATATTGTTTAAAAAGCAAAAGAAAAGCAAGTTACACTTAAGGTAGACAAGACCATCTCCCAGTAAACAAAATTATTCGCATTTCTCAAGAGACAAGGAAAAACCCAACCAACCAAACAAAAATCAAAGAATTATCTATGGAGGTGATAGTTAAAAAATAAAACTGAAATTTCCTTTATTATCTCACACACTGGAATCCGCCTTTCATTTTGCTAATGCCATTCCGCTAACACAACGTGCAGGGATCCTTAGAAATGGCAAGGCATCCTTGCAAAGAGAATGTCACGATACCTCCTGCATCCTTGTCTTACCCAACCTTTATCTGGTCTACACAGAGACTAAGGGCACGACTGGATCATTTCACACAATTTCTTCATGCTGTCTAGCTTTAAGGAAGAACCAAAACTAAGTATACTTTGGGAACAGATCCACAGACTGTTTTAAGTTTTACAGCTATATCCTTACAGGGTAGAAGAAGGAAACCTCGATTCGTGAGTTCTGAGTCTAAAGGAGACACAGCCTGTGATTTCATGCATGTTTGCACTTCTGCTCCCCACAGCAACAAAGCATAAAACCCAGTGACAGGCAGTATTACACTGCCTGAGTACTTTCTAAGTTAACTATCTGTCAAAGCTGAATAAAAAAACTAAAGTAAAATACATTTTACTCCCTCGTTTGTGATTTGAACAATGTTATTTAAATTCATAGACAGTTCTATTTTAAACAAACTACTCGAAATTACTTCCATCTCTGAACTATGACCCAGGTAGCACCTTCTGAAATAAGGCAGCTATTGTCTACTGCACCCTACTACCCTGCAGCCCTCAAGAGGCTTTCACTCTTACTTGTCGCCTCCTCTCCACACCCATTTCAGTGTTAACTAAGTTCTCACAGATCCACCTCAAATGTCCTTTCATCTTCTTCCAAGCAGGAAACAAGTATGTTTAAGATCAAAAGTATGTAATCAAGTCACTGTCCTTTCCCCAAAATAACTTCTATGCAAAACCTGGCTAAACATAGGACTAATTAAATTATCTTTAATTAGATTTTCAAATAGGCAAGATATTATAAAATGAGGAAAACATTAAAATGTATAAACCAAAGGGAAATAGAAACACATCTACACTCAAATCTTATCTTGCCGAACCACTCTTTTCTATTTCACGTCTCAGATTTTAAAATCAATTATACCTACGGGATAATTTTGATTAGCTAATTAAAGTAACACTGTGTTTCAAGTCTTATTCAACAAGGAACAATTTTTAAATTCCAAAGCCCTCGAGACAGAAGTTATCTAGTTACAACACAGCAACCACATGCTACAGCATGCATACTAGGGGCTGACCAGTACTGGACTGGGGAGCAAACCAAGAAACCCCAGATGCAGCAAAGTTAGAGGACAGATTAGCGATAAATACACAGGTGCTACTACTTGACCCTGATACTACTTCTGCCTTGGAACTTGGATGAGCATCTGTACTTGGCATCGGGCTTAACAGCAGCAACGGTAAACTCAGTGTCACCCACAAAGCTGAAATTCCTACATTTTTAGAACAATGAAAAAACATGGGAACAAGTTTATATTATGATTGAGTTTTCACTCATGGGTAGAGATTTCCTTTCATTTTGAGAAAAGAAGATGCAGTTAAAGGTCCTTTCATGAATTCGAATCCATACAGACTGCTGAGATCAGGCACAGACATTTCCCCAATATCTGCAACAGCGTAGGAGAAGGAGATGGGTACAACTACTTTAAGAACACAAATCTTGCAAGCAGGTTGTTAGCTGACAACCTACAAACCAAAACAAATTCGTAACAGATAATTAGGAAGAATATACTCTGCTTCCTCATAATTACATTCATGAACATATACAAATTACCATAAAGTCACTCCAATCTATATTTATTCATTTAAAATGCAATGAAACACGCAGAAAATACAAGTTAAGAAACTGAAATTAAGTTCATAGCAACTCAGGTCTTAACTTCCAAGGCATCTTCTGGGATACACAAGTAAGAGAAGATAATACTCAAATATTGAAGCCCCTTGTGGTAAGTAATAGCTACAGATCAAGTTACCGTATCTAGCCCTAGCAAAAGTTTCCCACATACTATAACAGGTCTTCAATAAGCTACTTTGTCATTTTGATGGGTTTTTTTAAATAAAAACCTCATATCTACTGTGTATTTTAATACATCTGCCCATTCAAACGAATTTATCCTCAACTTTCCTTAGAAGTTGGAACACAGGCTCTGCACATGCCCCTGAGAAAAAAACAAAAAAAAAACCACCACAAAACAAACAATGGAGCTTGCAAAAAAATATTTAATGCCTCATGTCTGTAATGTCAATTAGTTTGTTTATTTTTTTTTTATTTTAAGAAATAGACATGAACTGCATGGTTTTGCTTGACATTACAAGAAGTTACTTATGCCTTATCCTCAAATAAAAAGTAAGAGCATGCTAAAGCAAAGCTCTAATCAAGATTTGACTTTTAAGAGTTAACTGGTTTGCTGCATGCGTCAAGTCTTACGCCCCAAGTGAAGATGCACAGGTGGCTTGGAAGACTGTCTAATTAATTTGACATCTTGAGATATGTGCAGTGAACCCCGTGTTATTCATGGAAACTCGAACCAAGCAAATTGAAACAAACAAAGCATATATTGGAACAAACTTGTATTTACTTGATTACATAGAAAAGCACTTCAGAAGTGGGCATAAAGGTATAGCCCGATACACGGCAAACCAGGGTACGAAAGCAAGCAACTAACAGGAAACTGTCATTTACAATAAAATTTGTCAATGGCAAGTGTTAAGAATAAGTCTTACAATGTTCATTTTTCACCTGAAACTTCAGAAGTGAGTGAACTTTATTACAGGTACTTATGCAGCCTTACAAAGTGTTGTCATATAACTTAAAAATCCACCTTAATAGCTGAGTGAAATGTCAACTGCTTAAGTTGACATTCTTTGAAGACACTTCACCTGCCACCCAAAGAGAACAAAACATATAAAGATGCCAAACAATAAGAAACTGAAGTTAATAGTTTCTCTGTACACTGTTTTAAACCCAAGAAGATGTAAAAAATAAGAAAATCGGCAAGACAGATTTGTCTTCCACAGAACACTGTAAAGTGTCACAAAAGCAGGGGCAAAAGCCCCACCAGAGGTAAGAACAGCTACAAGACTTCAGTGTAAAGGAGTATCAATGGCCGTGACACCTATCCAGCACTGTATTTGTGAGTTCCCAAAAAAGAAAACAGCAATGAAAGACACATTAAACTAAAGCTAGGACATTTTTTATGTTTCAAGCAAGGAAAGAAACTTCGTAAAATATTTCGAAAAAAGCAGATTTTAAATTAGGTTAAAAATACTCAACTTTACTAAAAAGGGAAGGGGTTTCACATTTAAAACCCAAGCACTGTATCAGCAGAGGCACTGAGAAACACCAAGCAGATTTCAGCCAACTACAATGACTTATGGTGAGCCAAACAGTAAGGTCTTCTGCACTTAAAGGTATAAAAAAGATCTGCTATTAGCCAATGAAGACCACTCACATATTTCAAACCTAAAAGATAAGCAGACAACTTATGCCAGTGTAGAAACTTCCTATATCAAGAAGATGCGTTGCTCAGAAAAGACAAAATACTTTCCAACAGTTCTTTCAATAAAACTAACTGAAATCCATTTGCTTCACAGCAAAGACTTTGTTAATCTTTCCCAAGATCAAAGCAACATTCCTCAGACTATTTTATACATTAAACATCCCCACACAAGATCAGAGAACAAGGGGAGGTGAGAGATAACACCACCACCACAACAGTGACTTTCTATAGTTTCCCCGGTAAGTGTGCAATCAGTTCAATAAATTCCCTAAAATATAATATTTCATAATATATCATAATATCTTCTAATTATGAACTAAACAGACTGATGCAAAACTATCTTCCAAATTCAGTCACAATGTCTCTGCTGCGGCCCAAAATTCTCTCAAGCCAGAAGAAAAATGAGCATGTCACGTCAGCCTATTTAATAAGATAAATGACTGAGAATCATGAATTTCATTTACAGAACCCACAATATGAAGTTAGTTGTCATAATTAAAGCTACACATAGAAAATACTTTGCAGCCAAAACTGACAATCAATTTTTAATATGCTGTGTCATAAAAAAAAATCCCTATTACTTACAAAATTATTCCCCTCTATAATAAAAACCTATGTAAAATTTTACCAAGGTTAAGCAAAATTAACTTTCACAGCTGGGACCTCAATGTCAGGTTAATGAAGACAAGGATAAAACGTCCAGAACTTCATTATAATATGTCTAGAACTAAGACAAAAGTGTTGACACAGTAAAAACCTAAGAAACAGTTCACTGTTACAAAACTAGAAAAGCAGTATCACCACACAGTTTCCTTATCAATAATTACAACAACATTAGAACAACATGTTAATTCCCAGCTAATTATACCACTAGAGGCTGTAAGCACAGCAAAAGTAGACCCTAAGATTACTCAAGATCCCATAAGCAACAAATCAGAAAGCAACTTTAAGACCAAAGATATATCCACACCCTTTAGAGCACCAGAAAGTGCAGGGAATAGCAATTAATATAAGATCCCTTGCTGTTTTCCAGTGGCACTTTAAGTACTGGAGATGGGGCAGGGGAAGAAAGCACAATATGATGAGACACAAACATTTTTCCCTTTTTTTCCATCATTTTAGGGAGCCATAAGTCCAAGTTTATTAGACAAGCAATAGCCAGAAATGTAATCAAAGACTGGACTCAAACAAGGATCAAATGTTTTCAACTCTCACTATTCTCCTTCAGAAGATACGAATATAAGTTTGTAACCTTTAATCTGTACTGCCCACGGGACTTTTTTCATAAAGCCATACCCCTATGAAACAGCAATTCTACACAATTCACTTAGAAATCCTAAAATAATTAGATTCTGAAAATAAGTGCGTTTCACTTAAATGTTTAACCTTTTCTGATGTGTAATGAGGGTAAGCTCCTACTGAAAGGCATAAGGCAAGAGCATAAAACATACACCTTTTATAACAGAGTTTGCCTCAGTGCTTCTGCCTCTAAGCAGATGCTCTTAGTTCAGAGGAATCGTTTTGCGAACAAACAAATATAGGTACCCCCAGGGTTAACTGTTAGTTTATACAAGTGCAAACTGTAAGCACTGGTGGTATAAAACCACAGTGCCAAATACCAAAATATATTACTTTCGTTACTAATGTTTATCTACGTAGCAAGTAATAATTTAGTAAGATCATTTAGATTTTAAAAACAAAACCCTGAAAAATTAGCTCAGAATTCCTGAGGCTGTTAGAATTTAAAAAATAAAATGTTAGTCACAGAACTACCAGAGTCTTTCCATTTAGTTTTAAAGCTACTGCAAGGAACAAAATCAAATATGAAGCACGAGAAGATTGTGACTTAGTAACTTCACTTACACGAGCAATACAATAATCCTTGGGATTTTCCTTCTCCAGACCATATTTTTCCAGTGCTTCAATAACTGCAAAGTCTGCAGTATCCGTAGTGGACAGCAGGATTGTCTTGTACGGTATATTTGGTTTTAAACTGTCTGCATAAATTCTCAGTGTCCCACCTTGGAAACAAAATTTAATAAACAAAGCTACCAGAGAATACAGACAGACATGCAGCCATTTATTATATTTATGTCAGAATACAACAACAAAGCCCTTCAGAAATCAATTAGTCAATCTACTCACACAAGAAAAGTTACATAACATCCCCAAAATACATTTGTCTCCTCCAGTGGTGAAAACCTCCAGTGATACTTTCCTAATTTCTCTAAGCAAGACCTTTCGCCCAGTGCTTCACCATTCTTAATATTACTTGAAGTTACAATGAAACAGTGACAACAACTGGATGAAGAACTGACCTTTCATCTTGACAGCACGTTTGTGCTGACCTTCAAGAATCTCCCCTCTCTTTAAAAAGCCCATTTAAGATTTCCCTCAGGTGATGTTTTCTATGCCTCCAACTCCTCCTTCACTACTCTTCCACTGACAGAATACGTTTTTTGAGGTTTTATCAGTACTAACATTGCTTCATTCATTCCTTTAATGCTGATGTTTATGCAACCACCGCTGTTGTATCCCCACTCCCAAGAACATGAACTACTTGATCACCGATATTCACAAGATCTTCCAGAGCCCTTTGTGCAAACCTGAACAATCACTTTTTGCCATCCTGTATTTGTGCTACTGATTGAATTTTTACATTCAGATCATTCAGCTCGTTCTTAGTAAAATGACTGAAGTTTGTCAGTTTAATAAGTCAAATTCTGTCCCTCCTTCTTTCCCAGTTTAGCACTAGTAGCAAGATCTATAAGCATATTCTCTCCTATCAATTTGCTCATTACTGAAAGCTGACACACTCATCACAGAACATGCTCCTGTGAAGTCTTACCTCTACAAGTCCTTCACTCAGTTACACCATAGATAAATTAGACATGAAGTACAAAAAATGTTTGAAAAAGCAGAAGTTAAGTCAAATTTACAGGAGTCACTGACCTTAAAAATACTCTCTCAGTAAACAGTTTACTGTTTACCACTTAACCAGAAGAAATGTAAGTACCTGAGTCTGGTCTGCCATCAGAACTGCGAAATTCCTGCATTCTTTTCTCTAGTTTCTGCTGTCGTCGCCGTTTCATAACCACCTCGGGATTGGATATTGTGCGAGTGAAGCTGGTCTCAGGCATATCTTTGTAAACCTCAGCTGCAAGGCGAGAATTCTCACTGCCAAGTTCGTTTAAAGAAAAAATGGTCATATTAAAAAAATTTAATACCTTGAAATACATATATTCTTATCACTTCATAAAGGGTAAAAGGCAAGTAGAATCCATACACAGAAGAGATCAATTAAATTATAAGATGGTTTCTACATGAACTTCACTTTTGCTAGCATTAACACTGTTCATGCACCCATGATCAGCCGAAATAGACAACCAATTTAAGTATTGATGGTTGCCACTTTTCAAAGGAAAAAAAAAAAAAGGCCTTCTAGATCTTAAGTGGGGGGAACAATGGTATTAAAGAAACTTTACATTATACCCCTAACTTTATTCTGATTTACAATGTTGCAATTAGGTGGAAGCAGACTTAGCATATGCTTGCAGCTCATGCTTTTTCTTTTGCTAGTGTACTTAAATACAATTCCATTTTAATTTAAAAAAATTAAGATTAAGCTAAGTAATGGCAGAATACTGGAAAGATCATGCTGACATCTGAAGAACATTGCAAACATATCCATGCAAAGTAGTACTACACATATGAAACACACTCGAAGTCAACAAAAAAAAAGAAAGAAATAAACCAACCAAGTTGAGCAACTAAATCCTCTATTAACTGTCAACCAGTCAAGTAATTTATTCACCTCTGAGAATCTATCATCAACTAATAAATTTTCATCATTCATTTTCTTTCCGAGTGTGTTAAAAATCCACCATTAATGATTTTCTTTTCTGGTGAAAAGTTTGTTTTTGTTTTTGTTTTTTTTTCATATGAAACCTACAGAATCCGGTACAGAGACAAAGTTTAATTTCACGTAGACCTTTCTCAGCTTTCTAGTTCTACATACAGTTATTCATGCCTGACTCTTGTGCTCTAGTTTTCTGTACAAGGATTAATGTATGTCCTGTCCTGTGTCTCAATGAATAAGGTGCAGCAGATTTGGGTGCAATACTTGAAGAACCTAGAAGACTGGCTACCAAAATACATCTCAGAGAAAAATAAACTGACAGTCAGGTGGTAAGTCAAATGCAAATATCCACACACACTAATTTTTCTGGAAAAAGACAGAACAATCAAACATACAGAGAGGAATTAACCCACTCTAGAGTAAACAACCAAAAATAAACATAGTGGGGAAAGTCCATGTCACCAAGCACCTGTCAATTTCTGTACAAGGACAAAGAGGTGGAAAAAAGCATATTTCATGGTTTAAAAACAAACATCATGGCAAGAACATACAACCCACAGAAACTGCTATCACCTAGTTTGGTTTACAATGATATTGTACTCATGTCAACTACTTCTTTTTCAGAGGAACAACAACTTATTTGGCAGAGGAGGAATCCTTTAAAGCAAAATGCAGGTTACATGAACTGATCAAAGTTTAAAACACTTACATATCATCCCCATGAAGAAGTCTATCATCTTTATCTGATGCTTGTCGCAATGCCTCTTTTTCACGCCTCTTTTTTTCCTTTTTTTCTTTTTTTGAGAGAGTTCGTTTGAAATTTTGAATTACTCCCTCTTTTTCTTGTTTTTCAGGGCCATTACTCTGAGCCTTCTGAAATAAATTAGTTTAAAATAACTTCCATCATTTTTAGTCCACTTAGAATTTAGTATTGCTTTTAACTTTCCAGATAAATCTCATTAAGACACAGTATCACTAGCACAAAAACAATACCCCAGGCAACAATACTGCATTACACAGAGATGAGACTAATATTCTCTGGACTAACACAGAAGGCAAAAATCATTTCATATTCCAAAGCAGGTAGGAACTGATTAAGCACCTTATACTCAAGGAAGCAAAGAAACAGCAGAATTTTACTTGAATAATGCCTACTATCTGCTTGGTCTCAAAGATTAACTGAAGGCTGCAAAACAAATTTCTGCCTCCCAGTAAAAATACTTCACAAAACAACACTGTGCTTAATCTGTTTTCAAGACAACTGTGTTGGAGCATCGGATAAGAATAAAGTGCAGAAGGAAAAACATTACAGAGGACATTTCCCCTGTAGCGTATTGTTCTGAGTTGTCCTTCCAGTGTTCTCTTCTCCAATTCCTGCTCCTTGCATACACAAGATACCTACAATTCTAGGCTCATTTGCTTTCTGTAGAGAAAATAATAGAAGATGAGAGAAAGATGATGAGGGTTTTTTGCTTCTATCAGGAAGTGGAGATCACAGAGAAAGAAGATTGAAGATTATTCAATGAATAGGAATAGCAAGTCTGTAGTGCAAGACATCATTAATTTTCTCTCCCCACCTCTAACAGAATGTATCCTGTAGGCAAAAGCGTAGTGTAAGAACAGCTCATGTATCTACACCCAAAGCACCTTTAAAATTAACAAGCTTTAATTCCAATAGCAAAAGAAATTTAGTGCTCAGCCCAAGATGAAAATCTTGTCTGAAGATAGCCCACACTGAACAGCATGTTTTCCATAGCCATATGCATTCAAGTTAGACAGAATATATATAATTATACGACTTCAGGAGCCAAAGTCTGATCTAATGTAATGTTTAAGTGACTAACATAAAAAAAGCTTTTGTAGGGCTGATGTTGACATGTCCCTCATTTTTCACTTGAAGGAAAAAAAAAAAAACACAACACACCACCTTTCCAAAAGGAAACAGTCTTCCGTCAGCTCTGTCAAGAAACAGAACGTTATCTAGGAAGGTAACAATTTTTAGTTAAACTCCTTCTGGCATCTCCTTTTAAAGGCTCTGCCAAGAGGCAGGATTACATCCTAGGTGTCTAGCAATATATACTATTTCAGGAAAATTTTAATTCATCATATTAGAACAAAGCAAACTAAGTTCTCTGGACACTACATGCTCCAGTACTAGACAGCTACATAGGTCAAAGCATCACAAGTCATCTGAAAGATCACAAAAATGCTGTGCTGTGAAGATGCATTTTAAGTATTTAAAAAGACTTGCTCCAGATATCAACCGTCAGCAGCAGCAGTTGTTTTCAGGAATTAGAAAAGGAAAAATTATGTTCTGCTATATAAGCAAATCCCACACATTTCAAAACTGCTGTTATTGCACACTCCTTAAAGGCTCACCTTTGGAGGAAGTGTATCATTTTCATTCTTGAGAACAAATCTTCCCTCTCGATCATCTTTATTCCAGTTTAATTGTACAACAAGAGGCTTCTCATCTACATCTAATCTTCTTTCTTCTTCAAAAAAAAAAAAAAAAAAAAGGCAGTAAAAGTTACTCGGGATAAAGATATTTACAAACAAGTTACGCTCCTAGAAAACCAAAACCATGCTCAACAGTACACATCAGCTGATGTTTCCCTGTTAAGTACAGGGACAGAAAGCCAGGCTTTCTGGGGGGGAGATAGGAATATATGTCCCCTTTCCAGCAATGTGCCTGAGTGTATTCTTTCTATCTACCTAAGTTAAAGGTCCACATAAAGTAGTCTTGCATACCTCCCTTGTCAGAACCAAGTCTGGGCCCACAAGATTATCACTCAGGAGAAATTAAGTCTACAGTTATAATGTTTCAAACTTTATAACTTTATGAGACTTCTAAACACTCATTTTCTTTATTTTAAACTTAACCAGTCTGACTGTGGCCCAAGAACTACTGTTCTAGAAAGACTGCACAAAAACAAACCAGATTATGAAATAACAACAACAACAAAATCTATTATGCACATACACTAGACAAAATTTCATTGACTGTATTATATCTAAAGTATATGAAAAAAATCTGAGAATGGTTAAAAATTAAACAAGCTTTGCCATTTGATCTCCCTTCTAGAAATAAGGGACAACATATGCATAGCAAGACAATGTCTTTGCGGTTACATTTTATTTAATGAAAAACACTCCTGTTGTATGATGTGCCTCTCACGAGCCACACATTTTAAACATCAGGAACTTGCTCTGCAAAGGAAACAATTTCATTTTGACTACAAGTACGGTGCTAACACATTTTTAAAGAAACCTAAAGCAGAAAACCATATACTATTCATTGTTTAAATTAGTGATGACACATGCACTTTTCCCTATTCTCATATAATTCACATCAATTCATCATGAGAAGTGACACATATCCGAATAAATTTCCATTCTCTACCTCCAATTAAATTATTCTCAGTCTTCCAAAAGCAGAATTTAAGGTAGTTAAAGCACTTGTGTAAGCTTCTGAAGTATAAAAAGAAAAAAGCACAACAAAAAGCTAGTTCTTCCTATTCCTGTCTCCACCACCACCACCACTACCCCACACACAACCACCATCCAACCTGAAGCTTTCTACTGGGGCGGGGACACAAATGCTAGCAGCACTGGAAGGCTACTTAGCCAAGTTCTTCACCGGTAGTACGAAAGGATCTGTTTAAGAAACACACTGGCTTCCAACAACAGTATGTTGAACCTCCCCCAAATTAGCAGTAAGGGAACATGCATTATAAGGCCACCTCTCAAAGTCCCACAACATCCAAGAACTAAGGATGTACTCTTAAGCGCTCCAATTTAACACTCCTATTCTCCCATTATAAATGTAGTCTTTACCTACTAGTCCTAAAAATAGCAACTCTCTCAGAAATGTCAATAAATTAACAGGATGTCAAGTACAGCATTTAATAGATCATAATCAAAATTTACATCTGCAGGCCTGATAAGCACACTCACATCTTGAAATACCACTCCCCCACATAACAATTAGTAGCAACGCACAAGAACGCCAAGTCTTATGCGGTTCAGAAGCTGGGAGCAAATCTAAAGATACTTTGGCTGGGAGTGGATAGGAAGGTCGTGTGGATGCAGGTAAGGCCTCGTGAATAAATACTAACCTCCACTGACATGCACCTCATAAAGTGAGTACTTAGGGGATGACAACATTCGCATGTCTGGTCGAAACTTCTCTGCAAGAGTTTCTATCACATCTTGAGTTGTGGCAGTACTAGAGACACGGATACATTTTGTTGCAAAATTTCCAGCTGCTTTGTCTTGAAAGTAGAATCTCATTACTCCATGAAACTCTAGATCCTGTAAAGAAATAAAAATATAAACCTGAGTGCTGGCTAACCATTACAAGGTTCGGAGTTCTTTTATTGTTTATTTGTTAGAAATATACTATGAAAATATAAGACATTCAAACATCACACTGGTTTTAAAAATTTTGAGGACAGTAGAATTTACTAACTAGGACACCATAAACTTGAAAAAAACCAAGGATATTCTGTAAAAAGAAGTTAAGTACCCTGTATTGCTGGAAATATTTAAAACTAGAATCTTTAACTATCCAAATTTACAGCTACTGTCAGGTTTACCTGAAGGAGAATTAATAAAAACTTTTTTTTTTTTTTTAAACCCAGAAACATGTTTTGAGACTGACCTCAACACGTTTTGTTACCCAGAGCAGGCCCCTTTAAGTCACAGCAGTCCTAAGCATCATCTTTTTCTCTCCTCTTCCTCCCCCCTTCATGCACTCCTGTCTCTTAAACTGGCACCTGTTTGTCCCAGAAACAGGCTGTTCAGGAAGTTAAATAATTTCGTTTATTTGTTTTACTTCATATTTTCAGAAAGGTTAGTCTTTGGTACAGCTCCCTAAACACTCTGGGAGGGAAGAAAAGCTCCAGCACCAACACAAGGTAAAAGAGAGGGAAGAAAGGGACTCCAACTGTTAACCAGATGGCTACCACACAGCTGCAACATTGATCTCTTCAAACTATTTTAAATTCACATCCTCAAATATTTTCCTTTGCCATCAGAGTTCTGTCCTCTACTCCAGCCTACCAAACTGCAGGAGGATACTGGCTGCTCATGTAACTCCATTACTGGTCTGAACACCAACACCAAATTCAAATTTTAGTCCCCCAGCGGTCTCCACGTGGCCGACACTTGCCCCTTGCACAAACCCCAGCACTCACGGGGCCCTGCACTCAGGGGGAAATAAAGAAGATTCAAGTCTCCTAGTTGACATTGCCAAGTTTGCTCCACAGTTCAATTATCATTGCTCTTGTCTTCACTTTCCAGAGGCTTTGAAATTGATACATCCTTTGGTGTCGGGTGCAGTGGTAGATTTCATGCTAAGCATAGCCCTTTCCAGTACTACACCTGATCACACAAAACACATCACAGTGTTTCTCTGAACAGCAAAGAATCCAAGATATTTATTGAAGCTACTCTATCATTCAGAAGACCTTCACAAAGTAAAAAAAAACAAGTGTTAAAACCTACACTAAGACAAACATCTCAGTCACCTAGATATACACACTGTTCTTCCCAGGGTGCTCCCAAGCCTGCGCCAATATAGCAGTCAAATGCAAAGGCACTATGGACCTAGACAGTGGCCAATTTTGTTTTATTCTGTGGTGCTGACCAAACAATTTATAGAATCAATCTTTCTGAGCCTAAATTGGTGTTACCACAGAACTACCTAGTGTAATCCCAAACCAGTGTTCCTTCCTGCAAGGAGTTACAGGTTCCACATGCCTCATTTCAGCTTAACTGCCACCTTCTCATCCACTGGAGACTTCACTGCTATTACTAGAAGACGGCTCTCAATTCTCCTATCCTGAATATTTTTTTGTAACAGCTACTACCTGAAAAGCATCCTACCCACTTCATTTCTTGTCTCTAATACTCTATCTCCAATTACTAACTAATTATCCATACAAGGACTTACCCTTCTCATGCAGAAGGCTACCAAATGACTTCTGGAAATCCTGTCTACCATGGCAAGTTGGAACTTCCTTACATGTATTCTTGCTAACTCCTTCAGTAAGCTCCAAAAAGTTTGAGGGACAAACTTTTCCACAGAGTTCTGATGAACCTTTCACAATCTATTATATTTACCATGTGTCCATGAATTCTAATCAGCACAAACAACATTTTGAGTAAACGTCCTTTTAATATTGGCCTCACACTGCCTTTAAATCCAGCGACCTGAAGGTGTCTACCTAAAGGAGTCATTAGGTACCAGCCAGTAAAATTACTTCATCCCTCACTTTCTATACAGCTACTTGATTAACATTGTCTGGTTCTAGCAACTTGCTTCCATGTTGTCCATATGTTCTCTAAACTCTTAACAAACACTGACTTGAAAGCGTTCATTTAATGAGTTACCCATAAAAGGTTCTTGGCAGGGCAACCTTTCCAAGATTTTCAACAATGAACACAGATGGGAAGCAAAGTTTTTCTGCTATCGCCTTACCTTCTGAAAGTTTCTTTTATAAAGTGATCATCCCACGGCCCTATGGCTTGTGACAGATTTGCTACTACTTATGTGCTGAAAGGCAGTTATTATTAGAGACTTTTCAAAATTTATTACTCAAATTCTTTTGTTCTATCTTATGCTTTATATTCTACTTGCCAGATTTTATATACTTACAATTTTCCTCATTTGGATACTACTTCAGCTTTCTAATAGCTATCTTTGCCTGATGTTCAGTCATGCCAGCTTCCTTTCACACTCCCCTTGATAGCTGGCATGCTTTTGGTCTGTACCTCCAGCATGGCATCTTCAATTCTCAGCAGGCAGCAAGTACTTTGCTACTAGCTGCCTCTTAGCTCTAACAAGCTTCTCTACTCAGTGTAGCTATGCTGTATGTCCAATTGGGCTGGACAATTTTGTAGTTCTCACAAAAAAAAAAAAAATCCAAGCATGTTACGATCTCTGGTACAGACAGCATTCTCGCGGGTAACATTTTGAGCCACATCCCACACAAAAAACTGATTCATGTAGTTGCCTCTACTGTAAGTACTCCTTAACCATGATGCTTCACAAAACAGCCACGGCTATTTTTATAACCAACTTTGGGTTTTGATCCACTTGTTCGACGGTTACAAAAGACGACGACACATGAGCTTTCAACAGAAGTGCCATGAAGCATAATTATATCCCATTTATAACATTTACTTCCCTTTCCACAAGGTTTTCCCCACCACCGTCTCAAGGTACGGCTGAAGCAATAATTAAGAGAGAAAATGAGCACACTGCAAATCACATTTTTCAGGTGTTACGTATTTTGTGAGTTCCTATACACAGATAAGGTCCGAGGTCTTTGTTGTTTTGTTTTGGTTTTGTTTGTCTGTCTGGTTTTTGGTTCTTTTTTTAAGGCAGGATTATTTTACTGAGGACACATTCCACTGTCCATTAGCCATGCTTTAAAGATTTTTTTTAATTCTCTACAACAAGACAGCAGAGATTCAAGAGCAAGGAAGTGCAACATAGATCCATTCAGAGAAGATCCAGAAAACAATTCGAGAAGCTCTCTAAACTACCGTGGGTTAGGTTATCATTATTATCTAAAGTTTTATTGCTAAACTTATTTCTGCTTCCAGACACTAGCAAAGCAGAGAGGTGACAAAACTGTATTCTGAATACTCAAGATACAATGTTAGTATAAAGAGAGTTTTGGTTTCCTTCTAGAAAACAAGTAATGTGTTCCTCTGAAGAATCCTCACTTGAGTTTTGTTTCATTGTTTTGACAATCTGGATATGAAAACAACCGAATGCATTGACTACTGGATGTCAATTTCCCCCAGTCTCTTCTATGGCAGCTTCTTGAGCTGTGTCCCTAGAAGTCCATGCCCACCTCGCTCCCTGCTCAATTGTCTACAGTCTTCCATTAAAAAAAAAAACAAAACCAAAACCCAAACCAAAAACCACAGATTGCACAACTGCATCACAACACTCTACCACTTCCCAATATAAAGCTCTACTTAGTGTAATGTTTCACTTCCACTAAGTTCCATACTGTTCCTTTGGGCATTGCTAGAGTATTACGGCATTTAAATATGAGTGTTTGGTCATACAGAAGTAATTGGTTTCACATTTCAAAGAATTAGGAGAGTAGGACACCAGAAAAAGAAAAAAACAAACCTCTAGTCTTCATTATTATTATTATATATCAGGTGTGTGTGGGTATCTACATATATTTCCAGTTCAAGACACATTTAACTTTTTGGCCACATGCTTAGCAGATCAACATCAAACACACACAGAGACAATGACAACACACACTAAGACAACAAGGTAGGCATCACACATAAATTTCAGCTCTCCACTCTAACTCTGCATTAAAGTGTTTATTTTTCAGAGGTACATTTAATCCTCAAACTCACTCCTGAATTTCTTTGTCCAGACTGCCAGGTAGGTTCACTGCAGTTTATAACATGGACTTGCATCACGAGTAGAGGCTAAAAAATAAAGATCACTTCTCCTAAACCAAATAAACACACAAATACCCACTACTGCCTAACACATACTCCTAAGTGAAGAAATCTCCCCAAAACATTTACAAATCTCTTGAAGTCATCTTTCTCTAAAGATAAGAACTGCCATTTACAAATTACCAAAAAGAAGTTAAAACATTTTCTGGATTTCAAGAGTGGCTAATTACATAAGTGTATGAAGTGATGAATGCTCTTTTAAGGTCCTCTCAGGAGTTTATATGCATCATAAGCAATTTTAGCTTTCTCATCTAAACACATTTTAGATGTTTTACGTACCTGCTGTGCAAGTCCCTGGCTCCTTATGCAGGAGGAATGTGAGGACACGAACAGTCTTTGGCTACACAAGTAGAGTCAATTTTCACAAAATTTTACTTCTGATCACCTTGACCGCAAAATATATTTTAAAGAGCACCTAGCAAAAGTCAGTTCTTTTTAAGCCTTTCAAATCATAAATGCCATTTTCCCTAAATACAAAGCCTAATTATTCCTTTTTTATCACTACTAGAACAACTTAAGGGTAGTTTCCGTAAGTATATCCTACTCAAAAGGAGGTTCCAACTCACATAATAAAAAATTGCCAGTTAATCATTGTTTCTTGGTTTCACAAGCAAAATAAAGTTCTATCACCTCTTCATTAGGCACAAAAGAGAGTTAAGCGTGCTTCAGCTACTTTGTTATGACTTTTTGCACAAAGTCAGTGACAGGCAGTAACTGCTTCAAAGCCAACAGGTTCAATGTTCCAAAAGTGTCTCTTTAGAAAAAGAAAACAAAAAAAAACCACGGAAGCATCAGAACGACACACTTGAAA